GATAGATCTGAGGTTGCTACCTCAGATCTGGAATATTGAAGACTTAGAGTGCATTAAAGTTCCTGTGTTTGAGTGCTTAGTGGAGCCACCATGTCCCAAACCTTGGTTTTAAGGTGAATATGGCTTAGATCTCGTTAGACTCAAGTAAAGTTTGCCACTTTACGTGATGGATGGATTGTAGGAGGTTGGATCTATGTTTTGGATCAATTGCATGGCCTGAGATGCTTCTGTATGGATTCAGATAGGTGGTACTCGACGAGTCACATGGGTGGACTCGATGAGTTGCTTGAAGATGGCCTTGGACTCGACGAGTCCATTTGGACTCGGCGAGTCTTGTCGAGGAAGTCCCAATATTTCTGGTTGAGTCGATGAATCGGTGAGTCAAGGGATGACTCAGTGAGTTGGGTGCGAGTGGACTCAGAGTTGTTGGACTCGACGAGTCTTGGGGTGACTCGGTGAGTTGGGTCGCTAGTTGAGGGAAGTTCTGAGCATAAGGACTCGGTGAGTCATCGGGATGACTCAGCGAGTAGGGTCAGTCAGGGGTGACTTTGACTCGTCCAAGGTTGACCAGTTGTCTTCCGGGGGTACTTTGGTAATTAAGGGTATTTATTGAGTTGTATGTTTTGATGTTTAGTGAAGGAGTTCGTGCCAGAGTTCGGAGCAGCGGGGTCTTATCTTTTCAGCCGGCAGTTTCGAGGTGAGTTATCCTCACTATATCAACAGGGTCTAAGGCACCAAGGCCGGCCCTTTATTGTATTGAGATTCGGTTATGGCTATTATGTTATTGTTTGATGTGTCTGCATCCTGGTAGCTAGGATGGTACATGCTAGGAGGCCTTGCTAAGGTCAGTGTTCCCGATATACAGAGTGATGCTATGCTAGTGACCGGTTAGGTCGGTAACCCGGTTAGGGTAATGATATGCTATGTGATCTGCTTGTTCGGTTTGTTGACTATGACAGTTATATGAGTGTATGTTTTGTGCACATGGTTGTTTGGACTAGAGATGGGTTGAGGCGGGTCCTGCTTTGTGCTGTAGGCCAAGATACCCAGGGCGGACCAATTGTTCCGAAGGCCCAGCGAGCGGTCCGGATAGGCTGTAGGCCCCACGAGGGCGGATCGGACGTGTCGAGGCTCGGAGAGTGGACCAGGCCGAGTGAAGGCCCGATGCGGGCGGACCAGTCACACTGTAGACTCAGAGAGTGGACCAAGTGGGTTGAAGGCCCGATGCGGGCGGACCAACCCCACTGTAGACTCGAAGGACATGACTAGACCCGGAGGATGGATCCGTTGGACTGAAGGCCCGATACGGCGGACCAGTCACACGGTAGACCCGATATGCATGGTTGTTCTATGTTCTGTTATGTTATGTATGTTTTATATGTTTTGGACCGGAAGGTCGTAGCCTGGAAGGGCGTATACGTGGTTGGTATTTTGGGGGTATCTCACTAAGCTTTCGGGCTTACAGTTGTGGTTTAATGTTTTTCAGGTTCTTCAGGAGACTGTGGCAAGGCGAAGGCGCGATCGTACCGCTCCTCACGATTTTGTAGCAATGTGATTCTGGGAATACTCTAATGACTTGTATTGAAAACCTTTTTGTAAACATTTTAATGAAAATCAGGTCGTTTTGAAAAAAATTTAAATTAGTTGTATTTTTCGGATGTTACAATATTGACAATATATTTATGTACCAAATGGATCATACCTCTAATATAATATGACATGGTCATTTTTTATTTAGTAAAACTTAGTATGTTTGGTATTATTGAAGTATCCAGAACTAGTTAATATAACCTTATAAATATGAACGGATACTGAGACTTACTAATATTCATATTTAGGTCGTTTAAAAAGGAAAAGCAGAAGTCAGGCAAGGAGCTAACTTTCCCGTGAATCTTCCACCTTTAATCACGTAAGTGCATAGTTACTTTCATGAACGTGATGCTAAAAAAAGTATCTATTGTTTAAAAGATTGAATATATGTTGAAATCTTACATGTGAAATAAATGTGTATTATTTGGAATATGCGTTAAATGTCTATTTAGTAACATTGCATAGTATACACTATGTGGGCCAGATATTATAATGTCACACCTTATGATCTGATGAATCAAACACTCCACACATTTATCAGCGTCAGCATCTAAACCACTGATAGTGTCAGTGTATCAAGCCTATCAGCGTTAGTGCTTAGTATAATTGTTTTATTGTAATCTTTTGTGTATTAGGTAATGATATAGATATGTATAGAATAGATAGCAGATCGGTTATCTTTGTTATGAAGATTGGTTCTTAGTAAAGATAAGATTCAATCCCTATTGGATTGACATGTATAGATTAGTATAGCCCTAACGTAGAGAGTTCAGCTTTGTGTCAACTGTCTTTTTGATAACCCATCTTCGTGGTGAAGACAAAACCCTTTGTTTGTGAAAGAACAATTTATATAACTCTCTGTGTTATTTACTTTATGTTCTCTTTTTTTTCTTAGATTAATTTACTTTTGTTCTTTTTACTTAAAGTGTATCCTATCAATACAAACCTTCAATTGTTATCAGATCGATTTTCTGATACACTCAAGTAATCATGTTGAATTTAAATAATCTCAAATCCTATGGTCTCAAAAAAATTCTTTGTTTTGATGAACACAACTTCGCCATGTGGAAAACTAAGTCCATGGTTCTTCAAACCATAGACTATGAGATGTGTAAAATTATTGAAAAAGGTCCTTACACTCCTATGTACCAACCCATAACCAACAATGCTACTATTAGTTCCTTGAAGAAAAAAACTAGAGACCAGCAATGACGACGATGATAATGAGTGGAACCTTCGAGTATTATCTTGGTGACTCTCATAACTAGAAGGTTGCAAATATTGGATCCTTTTAACTCATTGATTATATAGATTGGTTCATGTTATTCTTTTGTTCTTGGTAAACATGAAGCTAGAAATCAATCTACATAATCTTAACGATTAAAGGTATTCTATCAATTTGTTTACAGTGAATTGTATTTTTATGTGATATGGTTGATTTTGTTTGTTATCTTTCATAGCCAAAATTCAAGTGGTAGATATCTCGGAAAATGGAAGTTTATTTATGACCATTTAATTCTAAAGATTTGATGGAACGAGATTTTATCACCTTTCTAATAAAGCTGCACATATTTCGCTGTTTAGAATACTTTCTTCCCTGACTTACCCATTTGTTTGTATTTATATATTATTTTCTAAGGGAATCTGATGGAGGCTATTCTGAACCGAGTATGGAGCTTTTGACACATCATCGTACCTAGAAGCATACTACTACATGTGATTAAATCTCTCTAGGTTTCTCATCAGCATGACCATCTGCTAAGAACATAGTCACCCCCTCACGCTGATTGTCTAGCACTGTCTAAACTTTCTAAGTGAGATTGCATGGTCCAAATAAAAATTGATAGAAAGGCTTGGGTGTTTATCTTTAGTTAACTACCTTACCTGAACATGTACCTAAAAGTTTGCTTACTTTATGCATGAATTCTCATGTTCTGCTGAAATATTGAGCATAATGCAATGGCTTACACTTATTGCATAGTCATCAACATAATAGTTACTTGTCTATTACTTAAATGACAAAGGGTTTTCATGTCCCTAACCTCCTAGTCTAAGGTATGACATAATACCATTTTGAGTTAACGATGAATCTTTTATTCTAGACTACAAACTTTAAATCACTTATTGTTGATGAGTTAAACTATTTATGATTCACGTTGATTTCACCTCAGCGTGACTAAAATAATCCATTATTTCCTTTATCTTCTTAATAAACCTTGACAATTTACCTTGTTATATCACACACAGATGACTATTTGAAACTTTATGTTGGTGGTCAATCTATGTATCGTGAGCTATCACACGCACCAACCCATTCTTTCCCTTATATTCTTCTTTAAAGCTTTATGATTCGGTACCATACGCTGACGAGAGCTTGACAAATCTATGACAATGGTTAAGCTAAAACACCATAACTTATCACACGCATCACACCATTCTTGCCCTTTTCTTCTAATAGAAGTGATTAATGAGTCAGTGTATGAAATCACACACTGATAATACTATGTTAGTGAATCGTAGTTTAATCCCATGCTATCATGTGACATCAAAAACTTAATGTTTCAAGGAACTTGCTGATCTCTTACGCTGATGTTCATTACCGTTGATGGCATGTCTTACATATTTCAACTTTGGATGATGACTGAAAGATCCATAAATATCTTGGGATACAAGATTTTTACGGCACATATATCTTCATTCATGATTACGTAAAAAGGAAGAAAATTTTTGGGTATAAGTTGGGAAAATTCTTCATCCATGGACACTTTTATAAGCTATTCAAACAATTAGATCTCTCTCTCTCTCTCTATCTCTCTCTCTCTCTCACAAAAAGACTACCAATCATCATCTTCCTTAAAGATTTTACGATGTCAAAGCCTCTATATGAGTTTTCCCCTAACACTAACGTCATCAAAGGCTCTCATTTACCTGAATTTCCTATCATTATTCAATCGACCAATGTGGCGTTCTCGGATGAAATCCCAAACTAGTTCGTAATATCAAGATTTAAAGATTTCATCAAATATATCAATAGTTGTACTCTTCAATATGCACTCTATGACTTCCCATATCCATTCTACCCTAAACAGGAATGCGAGTTCTACTATTCATACTCTGTTAAGTTTGCAATTATACCCTAACTTTTCACAAACAGATTTACAACTTTATTTAGAGGGAGTTTTGGAGTACTTTCAAATGGAGGAAGACAAAGAGCATTGCGAAAGGATTCCTCATCATTAATAACTAAGATTATCATTCTAATTCATGTCCTTTCCTTAAAGTTATTAATGTTGCTCCATCTGAAAGGGACCAACCTATTCCTATGAGGATGAAAAAATGGAATGAAAAACCATATATGGTTGAATCCTCACACTCTAAAGATGATGATGAGAATGATAATGAGGATAACAATGAAGCTTCTCGTTACAAAAAAGTGGCTAAGGAGGAAGAAGACACTGATAAAGAGGAAGAAGAATCAACCTCTAATAAGGGATGAGAATTTGCTTATGGAATTAATTCTCCTACAAGTAACTCTTCTCCATGGATGAACAAGCATATTGGATTCCCATATACTCCTTCATCATTTACCTCTGCAGATGATGTTGCATAATCTGGATCAACCATTCTTTTGTCAAAACTATCAAACCATTGATCCAGGAGAAGTCAACGTCTCCTCTTCCTCAAGCTAAGACTGTTCCACTTATGCCAACTCCTATCATGATTGTTGCCTTTCATCAGGATAATCAGGAAGAATCCTGATCTAACTTTCATACTGTTGTGCTTTCCTAACTTTCTCTAACTGTGCAGATTACTCAGTCACTAGGTAAAAGGTTAAGTATAGTTGAAAGAGATATGGATACACCGAAGCGACTTATGGCTTTGGGTGATGATTATGATATGGTTATCGATGACCCCACCAAAATCTCCATGTGATAATCCTCCTCCACCTCTACCCCCATCAACAAATCGTCCTCCACCATCTCATCCTCCTCCTAGAACTCATCCACCTCCTCCTAACTTTCCTCCATAATTTGATGCTACTAAAAAGGGGGAGAATAATCAAGGGGGTCCTCAGCCAATGCAAATGAAGGTGGTGATTATACTAACTCCATCTCAGTCTGAGATGACTTGAAGGATTGAAGCTGAAGTTGATCCTCAAAAGAAAATTATTGTTGTTGATATTCCAGACACTGATGCAACAACTGATGATCATCCCATCCTTGATACTGGTGATCAATCATAGACCGATTAATATCAATGGTTTCTTGATCTTGGTTTCATGTCACAAGTTGATGTTCCTGCTATTCCCTTAAATTTTGTCTACCTTGGTTCTCACTTTGAGGGGTGATTCCTCAAGAAGATGTTCCTCAAGGAACTAATAGTGACATTGAATTTAACAATGATCAGATTAATACTTGAAAGACGAAGGCTTCCATCTTAGGGGGACCTCATGAGCTTAAAGATGGAAGTTCTTCTACTATTGTTTCTAGTGATCCTTTAGCACCTCCTCCTAAAAAGAAAAGCAAGCTCATCTTTGATCTAAATGAATAAGCAGAAACAAGGAGGTTACCAATTGAGGAAGTTATAGAAATCATGTTAGAATATAATGTTGTTGTTGGACAGAACAAGGAAGCTAGTAAAAGAGAGCGTTTTTTTTTCCAAACTTCTCAATCCCTTGCCTCCACTGATGAAAGTTCTAATGATCAAGTGAAGAAAATTAAATTTTTCAATAACAGTGTAGAGAAACAACATAGGGTCACAGACCTGAATGACGGGGTAGACAATAAGAAGTTTGGATACTTTATTACTTTGTAATCAAATCATGATCCCATTATCAAAGTAAGATGCACCAAACCAAGAAACGAGTCACAAAAGCTTCATGTAGTCATGAAGAAAGATGAGTAAGAGTACACATAAGTTGTATTTTCCCATTTGTTAGAAATTTTTGGCTACAGTGAGTGAATGCAAATTCAAGAAATTATCAACAAGCACAAGGGTATTCATTCTTAAGAAGTGAAGTTCGCAATTCAATAGCTACTCAACAATGTTAAGAAGTTGAACCTTGTGTCATCCGTTGGTCCATATAGTCCATCCTTATCAAGAAGTATAGGTCTTCCCAGAAAGTCCAAAAATAAATTGACATCGGGTGTTGAACCAGTCTAATACATGTTCATTCCAGAACCAAAGCATGGGATATTTTATATTGGTAATCACAGTCAAATGTGATTTCAAAACATTGATGATCTTCCTTCTGCACCCACTAAACATTTGTTTCATCTTCACTTGGAAGGATTTAGTTACTATGGATTGGAAATAAGATATCATGTGATGATATATCTAGAGCTAGTAGAAGATTGGATGAACTTAAACTTAATCATTTATAATGGATCTAGAAGCCCCATTCCTTTAACTATCTTCACAAGGTATGAAGTTCATATTTTGATGTGTTTCAATGTTGGATCTAGCATTGTTTAGGTATTCATGCTTTTGTCCCTATAACCGTGGTGTAAAAGAGTATGAGCTACTCTAGACCATTAGAGTGTCATTTTGTGACAACCCGACACTTTTACATTGTGAAATCGATGCATATATCTATAATTCACGTGAAATTAGCATGTTTTAGAAATATGTTGGGTCCACACGAGTGTCTTAGGCTTAGTATATCATAAATATGGGCCATAGGAAGGGTAAAGAAGGGTGTTACATCGTGAAACCTAGCAAAACACACCAAGAGAGGTGTGTGCGGCCAGCCAGCCGCACATCCAACCGCAAACCCCTTCAGCCTCACACCCGACCCTATATATAGTAGAGAATCCCTTCCATGCACTTTTGGCTGCTCTCTTGTCACACCCCCGAACCAGACGGCGGAAACGTCCGGGGGCTGTTGTGACTCAATTGAATACCATCACAATGAATATACATGAAACATAACATCATACATTACCAAGCATTGGAATATTACAACTGGTAGCGTTTACATTTAGTACATTGTTCCCTAACACTACATGCCCAAAAAGTAGATTGTTCGGTGCTAATTAAACAAGCAGCAAAACGTCACTGAGTACATTTATCCCTTTGATTTATCTGTTACCTGAGAATACAAGTATTTTGAAAAACGTCAACATATGAAATGTTGGTGAGTTCATAAGTAATGTTTGAAATCCAATGTTTATATTGTTTCGAAAACCACCAGAAAATCCGATATTTTCTGAAAATAGTATAGCGTAAAAGAAAAGTGTGAAGATCTGTGAGTATGCTTGTTTGTTTTCTGTAGATGTAAGCGGACGAGTTGTAAAATTTGGCATGTAATTCATAAGTGTATTAGTTGAAAACCCTAGGAAAACCCGACGTTTTCCTATCACTTTGCTTTAATTAGTTTATGTATTGTTATTTCGTTATGATAGAGGTATTAGTTGAGCTCCGGAGGCGTTGGATCAACAGTGGGTTGTGAATTGTTGTAACGTACGTTAATGAAAACGACCAGTTGACAACCGTACAAACGATCCCTTAGGCGTCGCTCGCACTTATTCACATAACCCAACCCTCCCGGACTTGTGTAGCCCCACGACCGAAGGGAAAAAGAAGGTGCGAAGCCCTCGGTACTTCCCTACGTCGTTCAAGACCATAGCGAATGCGAAGGACCCGAAGCCCAACTCACAATCGTGAGTTCTCGACTTTACTAGCAGTACCAAAGGACCCTTGGGGACCAGCAGCACGTTTGCCATTGAAAGTCCTTTTACACGAAGTTAACTCGTATTAGACCCAACTACCTGTAAGTAAGTATCCTTTGGGCCTAAAGATCATGTCATTGGGCTAGCTAGGCCCAACAAGCATGATTTGAAACTTTTGGGCCTAAGGAAGGAGCGTCGACGTATAGAGTATTTCCACGAGTGTATAGAGTTTCCAAGAGTTTCATGTGTGTATTGAGTGTCGTAGTGTTAGTAGTTTCGGATTTGATATTGATTCGAGACCGAATCAATTCGTTTGATAACGATTTTGGTGTTGAGGGTATATTGTATATCACCGATAGTTGAGGTACTAGTATTTCATCGTGTCGGGTTCGTGTTTGTTATTGTTTTGTTTGTTTTGGCATTGATTATTTACATAGTTGAAATCTAAAGCCCACTTTTTGTAAAATGATGCTCTTGGTCCAATAAGCCAAAAATTAAGGATTAAGGCCCAATTTTTGTAAGAATAACACTTTGGTCTCCATTTTGTTCAAAACTTGTTTTGATAACTATTTTGTAGTAAAAACAACATTCTGAAATCCCTTTTTGTCAAAAATAACATTCTTAACTTGAGTTTTGTGAAAACGCACATTTTCTGGTTTTTGAACTTTTCCGACCTAGTTGTTTGAAAATTTGTAGAAAAATCATCGTAAGTCGAAATTTGGATACGTAAACTCTCAAAGTTTAGAAATTTTGTCTATTTTGTTCCAAAATTTTCTCATAATTTTTGATTGCTCCTAACAAGTGTGAAACTGTTCATCTTCACAGGTTGGTCCGAAATTATTTCAAATATGATAGGCAGTTTTGTAAAATTCGCCAAAAATTGTAGAAGAATCGTATGAAAACGTGCGAGTACTCATTTTAAAGGTATAAACCTGAACTTTATCCATGTAAAACAGTTTTGAAAAAAAACTTCCATTTGGATGGTCAAAACAGTCCGAGATTGGACCAAAACTTTCCTGTCAAGTGCTGTTTTGTGAGTTTAGCTTATAGATCTTTGTATACAACACTCATTTTTGCTATTTCAAGTGTACAAATCCCAGATCTAAAAGTTTAAATGCATTATATGTGATAAAACATAATTTTCTCATGACTCATATGGAGATCCTAGTGATACACTTCAAGTTTCTTAACATCTTTTTAGATTAGTGAAGAAATCAACACATAATCACCAAATGTTTCAAGAAAACACACATAATCAAGCATAAATACATAGATCTACAAATATGACTTGTATTCTCCCCCCAAAAAAAAGTGAAAACAGAAATCAAGGGGGTATGAACTCACCTTGGGGTTTGGTTTGGTTTTGGTGAGAAGATGGAAGGAGAATTCGGCATAGCTTGCTTTTTGAGAGGAGTTTTCGAATTCAAGATGGATCTAAGAGTCATGATCCACGAAAATGCATGAGTTAAGAGAATATTTTTGAAGTAATCAAGAGGCTAGACCATGGATCTAAGCATAAACTTACCAAGGATGATGATTTTGGTGAAGAATCCTCTTGAAAACACCCTAGATCTTCGAAATTTTGGATGGAAGGAAAGGAGGGTGTTCTTGATGATTGAGAGAGTTTTCTTGAAAGATTTTTGAGAGAATGAGATGGTGAGAAAATGTGTTGGCCGAAAATAAGAAGAGAGGGGGAGAGAGGATGTGATGGTTACCTAGATGTATGAGGTTTGGATATTACTTAATGGTTAATTTGCATTGAAGTCCACCATGCAAATGCGATGTGTCCATTGCTCATTAATTCCCTTCCTTCTTCATTGGGCCGAAATGGAGTAATCATGGAGGAGTTTGGGCCTTATCTTGGTCCTTACTCGAAATTATCAAGCACAAAAAAAAAAAATTCGGCCCATTGGGGCAAATGAAATCTTTTATGGCCCAATAAGGCTCATTAGAGATAAGATGAATTATTTTAGGCCCACATGGCCCAAAATGCTAAGGTTTTATGAATGTGGTCTATTTAGAGCTCAATTAGGGTTTCTAGGCCCAAGATAGTCAACTTGAAGGTTTATTGGTCCATTAGGCCCAATAAGAGAATCCTAGGCCATAGTGAACTTGAAATGGGATATCTAGGGTTTCCAACCCTTATTTGAGCATATGAGATATATTTGAATAGGAATGGAGCATAGTATTCACTTAGAGTACAAGTTATCACACTAGGTGAATGATTGCATGAGAGTAGAATTTCCTAGCAAAAATGCTAGTTGTGACATCATCCCCCCGTTAGAGGGAATTTCGTCCCGAAATTCTTTTGAAAGATAGGTGCATTAATGAGAGAATAGGTACTTCATCTGGTCTTTGCACTTCCCATGTGAATTCCGGTCCACGCATTGTGTTCCATCGAACCTTCACAATCGAAATGTGGCTTTGTTTTGTATGCTCTACTTCCCTATCTAAAACACCTCGACTGGTTCTTTGATGAACATGAGATTCTTGTTTATTTCGATCCCTTATAAAGGAATGATAAGACTTTTTCCTGATAGGCACTTTTTCAGATTCTAGACGTTGAACACAG